GTGCCAGCACCATACTGTTTTGATTGGTACAGTTTTGTAATATAACTTGAAGTCTCAAATTGTGATACCTCCAGTTTTGTTTTTCAAGGTTGCTTTGGCTATTCAGGGTCTTTTGTGGTTCCATACAAATTGTAGGATTGTTCTAGTTCTGTGAAAAATGCTATTGGTATTTTGATAGGGATTGCATTAAATGTGTAGCTTGCTTGGGGGTGGTATATTTTAACAATATTTGTTCTTCCAACATCACTCATCATCAGGGAAATGCAAATCAAAATCACAATCAGATATCACCTTACACCTGTCAGAATGGCTAAAGTCAAAACCACAAGAAACAACAAGTATTGGTGAGGATGTGGAAAAAGAGGAACCCTCATGCACTGTTGGTGGGAATGCAAACTGGTGCAGCCCCTCTGGAAGACAGTTATTGAGGTTCCTCAAAAAATTTAAAGTAGAACTACCCTACAGTCTAGTAATTGCACTACTGAGTATTTACCCAAAGAGTACAAAAACGTGAACTTGAAGGGATATATGCATTCCTATGTTCATTGCAGCATTATTTACAAAAGTCAAACTATGGAAACAGCCCAAGGTCCATTGATAGATGAGTGGATAAAGAAGAGGAGGTATATATACACAATGGAATATTACTCAGCCATAAGGAAGAATGAAGTCTTGCCGTTTGCAACGACACGGATGGAGCTAGAGGGTATTATGCTAAGTGAAGTAAGTCAGTCAGAGAAAGACAAATACCACATGATTTCACTCATATATGGAATTTAAGAAATAAAACAAATGAAAAGAGGAAACAAAAGAGACAAACCAAAAAAACAGACTCTTGACTACAGAGAACAAACAGATGGTTACCAGAGGGGAGGTGAGTGGGGGCAGGGGAAAGAGGCAATGGGGATTAAAGAATAGTTATCTTGATGAGCATTGAGTAATATATGGAAGTGTGGAATCATGATATTGTACACCTGAAACTAATATAACACTGTGTGCTGACTACAGTGAAATTAAAAAAAAAAGGATATAGGACAGTAGAAAAGAAAAGGTAAATACAGCTGTTATGGGGTCTTGGCTTTCTGGGGGAAATGACAAGTTGCACTGGTTTTCAAGTCAGTTTATACAGTTGAGTTGAGTCTTGCACTCTGACCTCTTGTGTTGAATAAAACGCACCATCACGTAATCACGTGCATGCATTTTCCCAAGGCTGCCATGCATGGGAGGCTGTGCTGTGACCCAGTGCCCGGCTCTGTCATGCCTGGGCTATTTTTGCAGCGTACAAAGTAGGTTAGGGCCACGTGACTTGGGCGCTCCTCTGGCTCTGTGGCTCACTGGCTCTGTGACCCTGGGCAAGGTACCCTCAGTCTGAGCACCTGTAAATTGGGGCTAACAATATACCTGTGCCAAAGTGTTGTTGGAGCATTAAATGAGGTACTAGATAGGAAACCATGAGTGCTCCATAAATGTGACCCTCTATTTATCAGAGCAAGGAATTAAACTTTTTTCCAAAAGTCTTAAAAACTGGTTTGCTTTAAAAAATGCCATTTTTGAAATGAGCAAGGCTGGCAATCATTGCTTTGTTTGGCATGAAAGCACACCCTTTCCTGGGAGAGTGGGAATTCTCCTGGTTCCAGGCATAAAGATTTAGGAAGGGTCCTGCCTGTGGACAAACGCGGGGGTCAGAGCTGGATGGGCTCAATCCTAAGAGGTTTTGGAGCTGCTAGAACCCCAATCTTCAAAGGATTTCCCCTCCAAAGGGGTTCTGCTGTGTTCTTCATCTCAAGCTGCTTTTCTCCAGCGTTAAAATTGCATGTGCTCACGTGAACTGTGATGTTTTAAAGCCCTCGCAACAGAAGGGTGTGGACTTGTTCTGGGTTCGCTCCCCTTCCCTGTTGCCCCCCCCCTTGTAAATTGCATCTAGGTTGGAGGACAGAGCAGAGAGACCACAGAAACTTTTCATGTTATCTCTGAATATTTTAAGATATGATGAGCAACTGAATGGTCAAATTGAACGTTATGATAGAACCTCATCAATAATTCAGTCACTGCAAGTTGAAGATGGCCCCTTAGCAGAGTGGGTTGGCGAAGGAGATCGCCATCCTGGGCTGGCTGTGTCCTGCTTCCATTTTCAAAGACCTCGCCCAGTTCTCTGCAGCCTCTTACTCTCTGCAGCTTTCTTACACTGAGCGCCTCATCCCCCCGGCCCGTTTCCTTTCTGGCTGTGCCCCAGGCTTGGCCCTGGGCTCTCTTTGGGGTCAGACAGAGGTGAAGAGCTCTGGTGTCCCCTCTCAGCGCGCTCTGTCCCAGCAGCTGTAGCACTCCCTCTGGGAGCCGCTGCCGGCACCGGTGAGTGGGTTGTGACAGAGGTTCTCTGCCCAGGAGCTGACCACGTAGACCGCCTGTCACTGGGGGATTCCTGGTGTCAGTTGGCAGCAAGTGTCTTCAGCTCTGTCTCAGTGGCATATCGGGCAGCTTGCAGACGTGACTCCCCCATCCCTGGGATGAGGCGGAGTGGTGAGAGGAAGTGCCAACTAGATCTGGTGTTCTCCCCTTTCCCCCCTTCTGCTTTTGCAGTAGCTGAAGTATGAGTAATCGCATTGAAGCTTCTAACTGCGGTCATTGTCCCAGCTTAACTAAATTGATTCCCAGAGAGAGGAATAGTTGAGGCACACTCTTGTGGTTTCCCGTCACTTGTGGATATGTGGGATTGAAAGCTGGCCATAGGGGCGCCTGGGTGGCTCAGTCATGAAGCGTCTGCCTTCAGCTCAGGTCGTGATCCCAGGGTCCTGGGATCAAGCCCCGCATCGGGCTCCCTGCTCCGCGGGGAGCCTGCTTCTCCTTCTGCCAGTCCCCCTGCTTGTGTTCCCTCTCTCAGTGTGTCTCTCTCTGTCAAATAAATAAATAAAATCTTTTTTAAAAAAGGAAGGCTGGCCATAGACCCATCTGGGGGGTGAGCCCTTAGCACAGACCATTGGAGCTTTGGGTCTGGTGCTTCAAAGGCTTTTCCAGATTATTCAGGGTCTTGTTTTTCTTGATTGTGGATCTAATAGCTCAGAAGCATTTGGGAAGTTTGAAACAGTTGTTAACTCTGTATGTCCCAAATACCCCTTTTTCACTGGAATTTTAGTAGCTTGGAAACCTCTTTTCTTGCCTACCCTGAGATCTTTTAAAAAATCCCACTGGAAATGTATTTCAGACCAGAGCCTCTCTGATTGTTGGTGGGAAGGGGACCTTTGCCGTCAGGGTGGAGGCCTCTGGGCTTGTGCATTCCATTCCTATGAGCCGGTGGCAGGCGATGTGCTGTTGACCTGGTCACTGTCACCTTGTTACCTTGACGAACAGCCAGCCTGACTTTGCTTCATCTGTCCGCCTTAGTCTTCTGAGGAGATGTGCTTTGGAAGCATGCCCGAGTTTTAAACCTGGGAGGTCACACGAGGTGTGATGGCGGGCACTGCTGTCTAAGGTCTGAAGGAGCTGAGAGTGACCGACCCCCCCAGCGACCGGGTCAGGCCAGCGCACCGGGCAGGAGGAAGCAGCCTGCCCAGCAGGCGCCATAGCTGTGTCCTTAACCTCTCGATCCTTCTCCCAGGTGTAATCCCCTTTTCTTTCTCAAGCCATGGCTCCTTGTCACCCAGCCTTGCTTTCCTTTTCATGTTGCTCTGTGTTTAGTTTTCTCTGCTTTTTCAAGATCCCCCCTTTCTTTTTGTTTTGACTTTCCTCTCTCCCCTTTCAGGTCTTCGTGCTCTTTTCCTTCTATTTTCATTCTGTCTTGGCGGTGTTCTCTGTACTTTCGCTTCTTTATATGCTCACAGGTGTTGGCATCTCCCAGAGAAGCTGACCGTAATCTCGGCATTATTTTTAACCTGAAGGGAGTCTCTTTATGCCACGGCGGTATGCAAGTGTTGGGCTGGTTCAAATCCGGTGGTTGTAACTGGAAGGAACCCACCTCTGCCAGTTTGATTCATTATGAAAAATCACAAGACAGCATTCAAAGACTTTTAAAACACAGTACTCCCACCTCTCATTCAGGCCTCGCTTTCCCTGTCCTTCTTGTCTTTAGTGGTCCTGTTCTTCTATATGATTAAGCATAATTGTGTATTCTTCACTTTGCTCCCTAAGTCAATGGCAGGCTTGTGGACTGCTGTTTCCCTTCATGCGGCAAAACACCAACATGTGTAAGCCTTTAGAGCTGACATTGTAGTGGCTGCTTAATTCCTTCCCCAGGTGACACCTCCCCTGGGGGACGGCTCGCTGAGGTCGGGCAGAGAGGCTGTGGACACAGTGCAAAGTGTGAGGGCTCGGCCGCCAACCAGGCCGGATCCAGACATGGCTTCAGTGAGCCACATGACCCGAGAGCGGGTGCTTACCTTCTCTGAACGGTGATGTCTTGGGGATCTGATGGCTGGAATGTGGAGTGTCTTCTGTGCCGAGCCGAGGACTTTGAACTTCCTGCCTGCCACAGTAGGAGTGGTCACTGGCCAGCCCTCTCCCAGCGTGGGCCAGTCAGTGTGCATCCCTTGGTGGCTGGTGGCGGACAAGATGGGTGGGGACGAGATCTGGGGCAGAGAAACCAGTCTGAAGCTTGCGTGTCTGGTGATTCGTGATGACATGCAGAAACTCCTGTTTGGATGCTGGAACCAGAGAACAGTCTCAGAGGAGAGGGTGTCTTTTCCCTCTGAGCTCCTGGACGCATTGAAATCCCCTCATTTGGTGAATGGAAGTCCCCTCGGCTGCTGCTGCTTCCTGAATACCAAGTTGTTTGTGTAGGAATTAGGACTTTGAAAGAGCATTAGCGTTTCTCCTTCCCAGACTGAGTAAGTATGTGAGATCTGTGTCTAAAAACAAGCTGCAGTCTGTGTAGAGAGGACGTTTAAAGTGCACACATTTTGATTTTCACTGTTGTACATTTTGGTAATGGCTCTTTGAGGGGATGGCATTTTTTTGTTTTAGGGTGGGGTGTGTCCACTTTTGACCAGTGTCTGTGGTTTTGTTTACAGATTCCCACTGGAAATCCATTATATGAATCTTATTATAAGCAGGTAAGTTTCACTGGTGTCTTTTTGGATTGAATTAGAGAGGGCGTGTCTCAGCAGGCACAAACCTGAGTAGGAGCCCAGTTGGGTCCCTTTCTGTCCTCCAAGTTATCAGCCAATAGCCAGTGGGCTGTGTGCTGCTTTATCTGAGGCCTTATCTCAAGAGTTGTTCCCCCATTCTAGGTAGACCCGGCATACACAGGGCGAGTTGGGGCGAGTGAAGCTGCGCTTTTTCTAAAGAAGTCCGGGCTCTCAGACATTATCCTTGGGAAGGTATGTGAAGACGGATAGTGACCTCTCTTCTGAGGCTGCCCTCAAGGCTGCCCCGGCAGGCGAAGGCCAGACCCCTCTTCCAGGGGATGTGCCTTCTGGGGAATGGGTTGGCCACTGTGAGCCTCTCAGGCTGTAACTGGTGGTTATCCCACTTACTGCTTGGGCAGCAGACAAGAGGCCTGAGTGCTTTGGGGATCTTGACAGCTTATGGGTTTATTTTGGCTTTGGAGCCGAGTAGACCTGGGTATTCTCTAGGCTCTGCCACTGACCAGCTGTGTGCCCATGGGGGTGGGGGCAGGTCCTTCACCTGTTGCAAATTTGCCTCCTCACCCACAGCTCAGGAATGGCCACTCCAGCCGACACGTAAGGCCCACACGCAGTGGCAGTTGTTCCTCTTATGTGAATAAATGGGCAGTGACTGGCAGGTGCACTCATGAGCATTTTTGTGTTTCCACAGATATGGGACTTGGCGGACCCAGAAGGTAAAGGGTTCTTGGACAAACAGGTATATATATATACAAATACACACAGAGCAAGTGGAGGGGCTTGGGCCAGAGCCCCGGAGGCTGGGTCACGTCTGCACTTCCTTCCTTGTTATTGCCGCGGACAAGTATTACTAGACATGAGTGTGGCCATCAGGCTATTAACACGGCAAGGTTTCATTTACTTGTGTGCTTACAGGTGATGAAAATGTTTTCAAATCGATCTATTTTGAAATAATTTAAGACTCCTGGAAGTTGCAAAAGCAGTCCAGAGAGTTCCGGTGTATCCTTCCTCAGCTCACCACAGTGAGAGCTGCTCATGTCACCATAGCATGACGCTCAGAGGCCGGCTTGGTGCTAAACTGGAGGCCTTGCTCAGAGGTGGCTGGTTTTACATGGACTTTTGGGGGGGGGTTTTGGTGTGTATAGTTCTCTGTAATTTTATTGCACAGATTCATGTAATGACCGCCATAGTCATTATGACACAGAACTGCCTGGCCCCCAAAAGAATCTCTCTCATGTTGCCCCGTGGCAGTCACACCCTAACCTTGGTTAGGTTCCTTCTGGTTCCATCTCCAGCATGATTTTGTCATTTTTGAGAATGTTCTGTAAATGGAAATTTATAGTACTTACACATGCTTTTAAATTGGTCATATTTTAATTTAGTTCAGTTTTTCCCCAAACTGTATCCCAAGGGATGCCATTCCTGGTGTCCTACTGTCCATGATCTGATCCGCTGGGAAAGCACCATCAGCTCTTCCTCCCTTCCTTGAGATTCACATGGTACGTCTGCATGTTGAAAGAGTCTGAGGACCTTGTGGACGAGAAACCTGTTAACTTTGTCTAATGCAGTTCCCAGAAACTTCTTACATCCCCTTTTCTGTACACTCCACTCAGGCATTCTGTGGACATCAGTCTGAGAAAGTCCGATCTAGCGTGTGTCTCTTTGAAGACGTTTTTAAAACTCTGATTGTGTTTATAGCTTTAAAACAGTTCATGTTCTCAGGCTATTTGATCAATTAAAAAAAATTAGGTGATGCTCTGTGAGTCCACTAAGCCTGTGGCATGGCCGGCTCTGGGTTAGGAGGAGGGCAGGGAAGAGCAAAGGCCCCTGATGGCCTAGTTCAGGTCCTTTGTCCCTGCCTGGGAGGTAAGGTTCACATCGGGCCGGGGGGGCGAGTGGGAGAGGCTATCTTCAGCAAGGCCAAGGGATCACAGTGAGTCGTGACAGTCAGTTCCCAAACAACTATTTCAAACCATTTTTAAAAAGTCAACACATATTTGAATCATCATTTATTTATAATCTTAAACTCTAGTCTGCTGCTTATCTAATCTAGCATTTTCCTAAATGTTGGGAGCTCGTTATTGCTTAAAATACATTTATTTAAGGGGCGCCTGGCTGGCTCAGTCGATAGACATGTGACTCTTGATCTCAGGGTCGAGAGTTCAAGCCCCATGTTGGGCATAAAGCTTCCTTAAAAAATAATAAAGGTATTAAAAAATATACTCATTTGAAATTTTGGATTGTCCAGAGTGCAATGGACTGAGTCCATTTGGCATATTCACAGTGCTCCCAGGGGGACCTTTTGCACATTAAGTCATTGCATATGACTTTTGCACATTGAGTCTTCATTGTTGCAGTGAAGTGAAATTCCTCTCTCTCAAAGCCCAAGGCTGCAGACAGCTCTCCCCCTCTCATCGCCAGCCGGCTAGTGTTTACCCCTCCCCCTTTTTTGGATTTGCAGGGTTTCTATGTTGCACTGAGACTAGTGGCCTGTGCACAGAGCGGCCATGAAGTTACCTTGAGCAATCTGAATTTGAACATGCCACCGCCTAAATTCGTAAGTGTCAAAATCCTTCGGTTCTTCGCGCTCTTCTGAGATCATCTGTCGATCTGTGTTTTTCTCTCTTTTTTTAATCGAGATGGAATTCATATAACCTAAAACTCGCCATTTTAAAGTGAACAACTTAGTGACATTTAATACATTCACAGTGTTGTACAACTGGCCCCTCCTACTAGTTCCAGGACGTTTTCATCACCCCAAAAGGAAACCCTTTACCCAGTTAGTAACCCCTCATGGGATCCCCCTCCCCCAGCCCCTGGCAGCCATTCATCTCTCTGTCTGTATGGATTGGCCTGTGGTGGGCATTTTATGGAATCATAGATCTGGCTGCTTTCACTCATCGTAATGTTTCCAGGGATCATCCGCTCCATAATGGGTGTCAGTGCTTGGTTCCTTTTCATTGCCACGTCAGACCGCATTCTGTGGTCGGTCCATTCCTCTGGTGGTGGACATGACAATTCGTGTTTGGGGATTTGTTTGCACACCTATTTTCAGTTCTCGGAGCGGAATTGCTGGGCATGTGGTAGTTCTTGTGTTTAACTTTTTGAGGCTTTCCCCATTTTGAAAGCACTTTGACGTGTGTGTCCTTAGCACAAACATGTCCTCCGTAGTTGAATTCCGTGCCAGCCACAGCCGAGTGTTTCTTTTCCTTTCCAGCACGATACCAGCAGCCCTCTGATGGTCACGCCGCCATCCGCAGAGGCCCATTGGGCTGTGAGGGTGAGTGACCCCCGGCGGCGCCCCTCAGCCGTCCTCCACGTGCAGTTGTTTTAGCCACTTACGGTGTTCAAACGCTGCATGGGATGATTGTACCTGGCCTGTTTCAGAGTGAGTTTGCCACAGAATTTAACCAAGACACTCTTTCAGATTAAAATCTTTAATGGCTGTGACCTTTTTGGACATTGCCCTACTAAGGCAGTTAGCTGAGTTTCAGGCGATGGATTATTAAAATTTTACAGTTATATTTTGCATTTCCGGGTCATGCTGTGTGGTTTTTGCTGCCTGGGTTGGTTAATCAGGATAGAAGGGCCAGTTGTGAGAACTTGCAAGCTTGAAAACCTCTAAGGTATCTTCATAGCTCTCGCTTTTATTTCTAGCCAGTTCATGCGTTATTATTCATTCCTTTCTGTTGCTGTCATTGCTTTTGGAAAAGCTTCTCTCAGTACCTGAGGGGACAGCCTCCATGTCCCAAGTCTTTCTAGAAGCAGCAAAGAAAGACACAAGCGATACTCTCTAATACGATAACCTCTAATAACCTCTAATAGGTACAGAATCAGTCCTAAAGAAAATGCATGTGGGACATGGAGATGGTCCCCAGATACTGAGACCTCTTCACTCCTCAGTTGTAAGGGGATTGTCATATTTCCTCACTTCTAGTTGGCTTAAGTACTGACATTAATAACAGTCTTGCTATAAAATAAAGACACCCCCCCCCCCCCCGACCTCATACATTTGTCCTGTTTTTCTGTTCTGTCCTTGGAAGGGTTTGGAGAAGGGGAGGTTTGGCCAGGGATAGGGCAGGAGACAGCCTCATGTGGCCAAGGAATTGTGGAGTCACCTCTGGGAGCAATTGAGCACTTTGCCGGCAGCAGTCACAGTACCAAAGGAGTTCCTTCTTTGTAGTCCAGTTGCACGGCACCTACATCGAAAAGAGCTGCTTTGTTGTGGAAAATGATGCCAGAGAGCTCTTAGTCCTTGAACTGTTCCAGTCCCTTTCTGGCAGGGCTGCATTGAGGCCTCCCGAGAAGGGCTGGTGCCAGAGGAGGCTCCGAGGCCTCACGTAGGAGGCTGGGCAGGAATGGTGCTGTGATGGGGGTAGACTGTTTTCAAGAGAGATTCAGCCATTTCAGTCAGAGAAACAGTGACAAAGCTGAAGTGCCAAGTGTTCTTTTCCGTTGGGAGAGCTGCTGGTCTTTGAGCTGGTGGGTAGAATTTGAGACACTCGAGGGGGACACAGGGTGCTCATCTTCTCGGGGCCTTGTGGGTGCAGTGTCTCTGTGTGCTCTCCTTTCTGTGTTCTTATTTTCTTTTTAATTGTGGTGAAATATAGGTGACAGGAACTTCACCATTTGACCATTTTTTTTTTAAAGATTTATTTTAGAGAGAATGCACGCATGTATGCATACACACATGCATGCACGTGGACGCGAAGGGCAGGGAGAGGGAGAGAGAGAATCTCATGCAGACAGTTTAGAGAGAGAGAACACACGTATGCGCACACACACACACATGCACGTGGACGGGAAGGGCAGGGAGAGGGAGAGAGAGAATCTCATGCAGACAGTTTAGAGAGAGAGAACACACGTATGCGCACACACACACACATGCACGTGGACGGGAAGGGCAGGGAGAGGGAGAGAGAGAGAGAGAATCTCAAGCAGACGCCATGCTGAGCAGGTAGCCCAATGCGGGGCTCGATCTCACAACCCTGAGATCATGACTGGTCCGAAACCAAGAGTCAGACACTCAACATTACTGAGCCACCTGGCACCCCCATCTTGACCATTTTTAAGCATATAGTTAGTAGCGTTAGGTACATTCACACTGTTGTGCAGCCATCTCCACCATCCATCTCTAGAACTTTCTCATCGCTCCAAACTGAAACTCTGTCCCCATTAAACACTAACTCCCTCCTGCCCCGCCTCAGCCCCTGGCGCCCACCAGTCTGCTTCTTGTCTCTGAGAGTGTGACTCCTCTAGGGACCTCATAGAAGTGGAATCACAGTACCTGTCCTGTGGTGTCTGGCTTATTTCATTCAGCATAATGTCCTCAGGGTTCATCCCTGTTGTAGTCTGGGTCAGAATCTCTTGTTTTTTGAGGCTGAAGAATATTCCATTGCGTGGATGCACCACATTTTGGTTATCCATTCTGTCAACAGATGCTTGTGAGGGTTTCTTAGTGCTCCCGTGGCTCCAGCTTGTGGGCAGAGCAGGTAGTGAGGGGTCTGCCCCCCCCCCAGGTCCAGTCACTGTGGATTTTATTTCTGGAGGAGGGCAGACTGCCCCTGCCCAGACCCGCCTCACCGACGGCCCCTTGGACACACTGCCCGCATTTCGTATTTCACAGTAGCCGTAGCTGCTACTTTGCATTGTAAGTCCCGTCCAGACCTCTCTGTTCACAAGGAGGTTTTATAATTTATTTTTTTACTGTGAGAGGATTTCCTGTTCTTAAAGTTGATTTTGATAATTGGTTGCTTAAGTCTTTGGTTTATTTTTATATTTGGTTCTTGAGCTCTTTTAGTTCTGTAGGTTGACATCCAGATTTAGTTGTTTGTCTTAAAGAACGAAAACCCATTCACACTTGCATCTTTCTCGTCTTAGTGAGCTCCTAGGAGGGAGGGAGGGGCGATCTTTGTCTCCCAGACAGCCCCTGTGGTGGAGAGCGAGGCCCATGGCCAGGTCCTGTCTCCTCGTTGACCTTGGCCACCAAATTCGTAGTTGCCAGGGAGCTGTTTCCTTCAGGGCAGATGTTCACTCTGGAACTGCTATAAGACATCCTGTGCTTTTAGGCAAGGCCAGTGGCAGGTCCTTGCCTGTTTTCATTCAGCTTTGGGTCAGAGCTCATTTTAGACTCTCCCACAGGCACCCTTTTTTTAACTCACTCAGGCTATTCCTTTCCAACTAGGTGGAAGAAAAGGCAAAATTTGACGGAATTTTTGAAAGCCTCTTACCCATCAATGGTTTGCTCTCTGGAGACAAAGTCAAGCCAGTCCTCATGAACTCAAAGCTGCCTCTTGATGTCCTGGGCCGGGTAAGTGGTGCTCTCACATCCTGAACTGCTGCTGACTTCCATCTGCCCCAAGCTTGCTCCCCACACACACGTATGAGGCTTTACACACGGCTATGCACCATCAGGGGCTTTGTAAGAGCCGATGTACGTGGAGAACTTGCTACAGTCAAGTTGGCTTAGGGCCTCATGGATGTGGCTCACAGATGCTCCCCAGCCTGTGGGAAGATGCTGGTGTGGGCCCATTGCATGCCTGGGGAGGCAGCTTCAGAAGTGAGCTTGCTGCCCAGGGCCCAAAGATGGGCAGAGGTGAGATTTGAACCCAGACCTGGGATGTCCCCTACTCCGTGTGCTTCTGGGGAGAAGTATGGGAGTGTATGTCTAGAACTCTTTTCTTCTTTTCTTTCTTTTTTTAAGATTTATTTATTTTAGAGAGCGTGAGTTGGGGGGGCAGAGAGAGTGGGGAGAGAGAATCTCAAGCAGACTCTGCACCAAGCGTGGAGCCCAACACGGGGCTCAATCAGACCTGAGCCGACACCAAGAGTCAGATGCTCAACTGACTGTATCACCCAGGTGCCCTCTTTTCTATTTTTAATTACTTTTCTTCTGCCTATGAGCTTAAGGTAAAGGTACTTTAAATTCTGCTGCAAGTTTAGAAAAAATTTTATGCATTCTCTTTAAAAAAAGGCCCTTAGTTTTGTTCCTATTAAATACAAGTTTTTTAGATGCAGCTTTTTATTCCAGACTGTCTTCCCTCCAATGAGGTTTGCATCATGGCCCTGTGTGTTTGCTCTGTGCACAAAGCCCAGTTCCACAAGGCTGTCCGTACTGAGTTCCCTGCTATGCACTGAGAAGGGATGGATGTTGTCATCTGTCTGGACTGGATCACAGCGAGGTGGCAGGCACAGACCCAGAGCAGGGGACTGAGCATAGTCCCTGCTGCTCCAGGCGACACCTGTGGGTCTAGCTCATGACATTTGGTAGAACCTTTGGGAAAGGTACAAATTCCTGTCCTTTGGATTCACCTAATAATGTTTCTGTTCGATTATGACTTTTGTGGACACTGGCCCATTTGATAGGACCCAGGTAGAGCCTATCTTAATACAATATTTTGAAAGAAGGCCACTAAGAAAGGGGAATCTCTCAAATCCCTTTGTTCCCTTTTGGCTGTGACCTGGTGTAGGCGGAGCTCTGTGTTGGGGACCAAGCATCTTTACAAGGCATGAGTTTTAATTGCAGCAGGATGGGGCTACCCCGTCCTGCACATTACGTGCGTTTGTCAGTCCTTGCAGAATACCTGACAACTGGATGTAATCCTGTTGTAGAGCCAGATCACGAACAAGACAGAGAGACTGACAGAGGTGGAGTGTGCTTCATGAGAAAGGGAGCTGTGGCTGGGAAGGGTGCATTGTGCAGATCTTCTGCTGGGCTCCAGGTCTTGTGGCACACGGGTCACTTCTCATCTGCTTTTCTGCACGTGCCAGGCTTATGTGCACCCATTCAAGCATGTGCACATGCATCCACATCCATGCACCCATCCACCTGTGTGTGCGTGCATCCATATCCATGCACTTATCCATACCTCCGCACACATGCATCCATATCCATGCGTCTCTCCACCTGTGCGCGCATGCATCTGTATCTGTGCAC